TCGTTAGAAATTCTTTACACTCAGATAAGGCAAGGTATAGAAGGTTTAGAAAACCAGCCCAAGACGACCCAGAAATACTCTAGTCTGGAGAAAGGCGTGGCTACATTCGGCGTTGTGAAGAAGCTGAGGGACAACGATATGGAACTGCATACTGGACAGCAGGTAGTGTGAACCTCTAAATTGTTGATTTCAATTTTAATGCATTTCACTCACTCTAGGACATTCGTGCATGGGGACTGAGTTTCCAGAATATCACTAGTGATTTCCAGTATGTGAGATTTTTTTAGTGACTGTCATGTTTATTTTGTATTTCAGATGTACTCGTGTGGTTCCCTGGCACCCAAGATGGGCCGTGGTGGTGGTTGTATGGATCATAAGTTTCAGAGACCATCGGAACCCTGGGAGCTATGTGATGGGTATATAAATCCACATTTTATATACTGTTCTTTATAATTTTTATTTCATCTTAGTATTTAGGAAGGAGAAAATAATGACATTCTACTTGGACTTTGCATTCTGTTCAATTTAAAAGCTGCGTACCTTTTGTTGCATCATGATTTACTCTCATTTTGTCAATATGTTTTCTCTTATGCTTACAAAATATATGTGCATGGTCTTAGAAATCATATTTGCTCTATTAGATGCACATCTCTAATAGAAGGGCAGATAAACCCAAAATCGATGAGATTTATAAGTTTTTGCCCATTCGTCACTAACTTTACAGTTCACATAGGTGAACGTTGAGATAGCAATAATTTTATTTTACCTTTGAGCCTGTGAGTTACAGTGATTTTCACTGGTGTCCTAGGGAGTCTGTGACTTTCATTGGGGTCCTAGGGAGTCGCAACAACTTTCGCAAACTTTCGTTCTCATGAACGCCCTAAAAATTATATTATGACGTGATTTATATTGGCAAAATCAATTAGTTTACAGTAAGCCAGAAGAACCACGAAAGAAATGAAAACGAAGTGTAAACAATAAAAGCAATGACAACGTGCTCACATGGATGACTTAAACAACGTTTTCAACTCTTTGAATGCTAAATTTACAAAATAAACCCAAACAATTTTTTTCATATTTGTTCAAAAACATTGTAAAATCATGTTCCTTTGGTCTGAAATTAACAAAAAAAATTATTGAAAAAAAAATGTCTAGAATGATAGCATGAACAAATATTTCAATCAAGCGGTTACTGATATCTACCCAGTGTTGGCAGTTTGCTGATGTAAAATTCTGAGTTAGAAAAAAAAAATAGCTGAAATAACATGCTTGCTTAAACAAAAAAAAAAACAATCGTTTTACAGTATTTACACAGTCACTGGAAAAAAAAAACGGATCCTAGTGAACATTTCTCCTATCTATGGTTGATTGGTTTTATCACTTTCTAATCTTCTCATCTGACCTTTGATCTACGTTGTGACATGGAGCAGCTGTTGTGTTGAAAACAAACATGATGTTAATTACAATGTAATTTTCGTCTGCAGTTGCGTCAGTCTCTTATCAGAGCTTTCTTCAGTGGAGCTGGCCGCTAAGCAGCAAATATCCGAGTACTTACCCATGGTGGCCGAAGCGGCGAGGAAACGCCATTACCCACAGCATGTTGTTTTTCTTGAGACGATATGTAAACAGGTGAGTTGAGGTGATCTGACAGTTGTGGGCCCTTTTTAACTTTTAGTTCTGCTGACGACTTTGTTCGAGCAGAGCTAATCATATGAGTGATTTTCCGTGTCAACTTTTTACGTATTCGACTTGTTGAAACCGCAAGTCTGATTGCTTTGATAATATAGATATAGGTAGACCTCTTTCAAACGTGTTCATTTCGTGATGATATCTTCAATTCTCTAATTATGATGAATATTTTTGGTAAAAAGTGATATTTTCGACTTCTTGTTGAAAACCTGATTGCTTTGATATTATACATACAGGTACAACAGTGTAGACCTCTCTCAGATTTGCTCACTTTCTAATAATATCTTCAGTTCTTTAATTGAAATGTGCATTGCTAACTTCGGAGCTATCTCAGCCGACAGGCTTGTTTATTGAAGTTATAGGGGCTATGAATTTGGTCAGTGAGTGTAGAATGTGACATTGTAGGGGTATGTTTTTGTGATAACCTGTCATTCAATTCACATTCATGTGTGGTGTAGTATCTGGTTTCATGCTTTAATCATTTGTATCAGGACAGTCTTGAATTAGCCAATTCTAGAATTTACGTGGTTATACACCGTAACTTAGTTTATACTGCATGGTATTGATAACAGTTTGTATTAACATGTATTAACAACAGCAATCTGATTTGCCGAAACTTGTCAATTCTCGACAGCTGGGAGTATAAATTTGTTAGTTCATGGTCACTTGATAGTTATGGCACATAGTCACTTGCGCTTTCACTTGTTGTTTATATGCCATAACCATCTAATCCATGATGTATATTACCGTAGTACATTTATGTATAGGCACCCCCCCCTCTTCTTGAGTTAAACCTAGTGTGGTGTTGTGTTGTATAAATTGCAAAACAATGGTCAACTGGGGTATAAGCATACCAACATATTTGATAAATTTGGTGACTTGGTTTGTAAATTACCTCTATCCAAGAATATGATCATTTCCTCTCCAGACCAGAGAGAATTGATTTGTGAATAAAATTAAAAACTAAAACAGTGTGACTATTGCATAAAAAGTTGGAGAAAATAGCTGTGGGAGGAAAAATATAAATTTATTTAATAATGAATGTATTTTTTTTTTCAGCTTCCAGTTATAGCTAAAAACATTGGAAAAAGATATTTTAAACCCCACGTTGAGCTGTTCTTTGATCCTATTTTTTACAGTCTGGTGAGTGATAGGTTTTTTTTTGTTAAGTCTTGTTCGTTTGTTTTTCGGTTTCATACATAAATATGATGCAATTTTGAGAAGTTTTTATTCTGCTGCTTGCGTCTTCTCAGTGTCTGTCAAA